CAAATTAAAGAACAAATGATGGGATCTATCATTAAATTTCAATCTCGAACGTGAAGTACGTGAGCGCCATGCTCACATACTCACAATCTTTAAGAGTGCTTTATATAAACTCTTTGGATATGTCACCGGAAAATAACAAGATGCGTAAGTTTATCAATTTACTAGGAAGCTTATAAACTTTCGTAAGATTCTAAACGGGAGATAAATTGTAATATTTTACGTCCACATTTTCCAGATTTTCCAGATATACCTCTAAATTAAGAATTCATTTGAGATTGTATTGTAATAATATATTTGATTGTCAAATGTCTATACATATTTATTTAATTAGCCACTGGACTAAGTATAAAGAACAATAAAAATCTCAAATTATAGACCCCATCCCGTTTAGCTTCAATATAAATACAAAGAACGAAGTCGTTTGATCTGGAACAATGTCTATTGTTGGATACGAATGTTAATCAGCGTCTTAACCGCACGCCGCATTTTGGAAACGACGGGAATAAAAATATTTGTTAATTAACATTTGGGATTACGTCATCATTACTGTTTATGTTTCTAAATCCTCAGTAATGGCGTGATGTAATTTTTTATGGGACAAGCCAGCCACAACATGCAGAACCTCCTGAAACTGTAGCAACTCCCGTAAACCAGGATCTTCAGTAGATACAAACATGAAAACAAAAAAAGTCTTGCATCCCAAAACGAAATTAATCAGAAGCTATTAATTAAGGAGAGAAAAAAACTAAATAGTTTCCACTTTTTTCACTTACATATGTGTGAGTAAGCTGCTAAACTTCTAATTATAGCAAAAACGCACGCGAATTTGTTCTACATTCCACAAGATCCATATAATAAACTACACCTGATGAGGCATTTCAATTATCTAACATGGCATGGCATTGTGTATCTGTAAATTGTCACTCATAAGTAACAACAATGTGCCTAATGCGAATTTTCTTCACACTATAACGCGCTCGAAACGTTGCTGTACCCTTTGATTGGTTGGATAAATTAGAACAGGCCAATCAGAGCGCGAAACGTCATATATACGTGTAGATCGCATTAACGTAAAACAAACTCGGACTAAGCACGCAGAAACAATTAGAACTAAGAAACTAAGATCATTAGTCAATTTTCGTCATCGGAGAATTGTATTCCTGTTACCAACTTAACGACCTCGGTTATAAATGACCCAATAAATAAAGAAATAACACTAAGAGATAATAACAAAGTACAAAAATACAATTGTGAACATTTGTTCCAAAGTTCCCCGACTGATCAATAATAAAATTGAGTGCTATGTCGCTTACAACTGAAGGGATGCACTTCCTTTATACCAAACTGCTATTTCTGTATTGAATGAATATTTCATTCTGGTACATTTCTGGTACAGCCTCATGTCGGCTGAGGAAGAAATCCGAGTTAAATCGGGCAAATCGCAAACTACGTTCTAGTTCCTAATTGGACAGAAGCAATGTTTAGCTTTGTTCAAACTAAAACCTATTTTTGAATTCTCGTAGTACGATTTTCTGACGCCATGTCAGCTGTTCTACCGTAACGTAAGCTCGACATTTGCTACTAGAAATAAAGGAAGGCGAACAGCTAAATATAAATGGATTGGATATTAATTCTGTACAATAAGAAAAACTGCCGTGCACTATTTTTTGCTGCTACAATATACATTTTCACATGTCACACCTAGACCCGAAACTACAATTATTTGTTTGTTGACGACAAAAAGAGTTGTTCCGTGTGGCAATTGAACCCGCAACACCTTGCACGGCAGCACGTAGCCCAGCCAACGCGACCAGAGACAGTCTTAGACAAAAATAATTTAGGTCAGTGGGTGTTTGCGTAATATAAACCAATAAGATAATCCGTCATCTCTTTAATAAAACATTTGATAAATGTGTAGATATTAGGTATAGGTACATAGGTTATAAGTTATGTACCTACATGTGTTTCTAGTTGGGTACATCTACAGAGTGTATCGGAGATGCCATTTCCCGCTCGATCGCTCTCAATCATACCCATATCAAAACCTTAGCGCGATCGCGGAATAAAAATAATATTTTGCTGAATTTAACTACGTAATATTTTGATTTATTTCTTATGGTATGACCATGGTGCAAAGAGGTAGATTAAACATTTAAAATTGCTAATGTAGATAGGTAGGTACGTTAGAAAGACAATTTGAAGAAAATTTATTGGTAATTTCGTCGTCCTTGTCGAGAATAAGATAAGTAGTAGTACCTACCTACCTATTGCTTGTATAAAGTGTTGAAATGTCGCAGCCGCCTTCTGAAAATTGAGAATAATTTGTTAATTATTAGATAGATAGATACTAGAGTTCGTTGAGTTATGATCAACATTCCTCAATACGCAGCATTTTCATTTTAACAACCAACGAAGTAAATCGATATGTTGTCATCCCACTTTAGGACACCAGCTATAAGTAATATTAAAATGTAAAAGCCCACCAATTCATAAAAACCAATTATTTAAATTGTTATTGGGCTGATATTAAATCACAGTAACGCATCGCATCTTTTCCGAAAAAAATAATCCATTTCGCGCGCAAAATTGCGGGAAATCAAATTTTGTGAAAAATCTCGTTACCTCGTCGTTTTGCTACATTATTGTACAAACGTAGAGATAGAGATTTATACGCACATGGTGTGAGAATGAAAGAGTAATTTTCTACCCGGCTTCGCGTAACCGAATGTAATCTTATTACTATTTATGTAAATGTGATGTGTAATTTTACAAAACGTGAGTTTGTGTGATGGTTATGTTCGCAATCAGAACCGAAACCTTACGTCAACATAATGTTAAGAAATCTTAGGGATTGGTTTGATGTCTTTCTTTACTCGATTTCCATATTATCATTTGAAGCAAATAGGTAGGTTAAATGTACGATTTTTCTTTGAATATATCTTCTCTTACAAGTACGTGCCAAAATTAATTAGGCACAATCATCTCGCTGAGGCGCACAGCGCGAAAGGCGGCGGTGGCGCCATCGGGTTGCATTAGCGAGCGTCACTCCCCTAGACTGCCAAGGGAGCAGACGTCAACAGTTATTGTATTCTATACCTGTGTATAGGTACTTCAGCTGTTTCAGATTTAATGAAAGATGAAAGTTACTATGATGTTCCTGTAATCAAGCAGGATAGTTACACTAACACTATATCGATAGCGCACTCTTATGGAACTGATTTTTTGTTGTGACTAGGAATTTAGAAAGAAATTATTTATCTAAATACCTAATAATAATTCAAAATTTTACAAAAAAAGTATTAGGTACCTTATTTAAATAATGATTTAAGCTAGGTATTATTATTGAAAACGTATTATATGTATATTGCGTTTTAATAAACGGACAATGTATTATCATTATATCACATTAATGTTTAATAAGTAAATAAAGACTAATGATAACTCAACCCTCTATTATTTACTCACCGTACCTACCCACTCACTCAACCACGAAATAGACCATGATTGTTAACTCCCCGCTTATTAAATATCATAGCAGTAGTCGTAATCCTGAGATTAAAGCAACGGACATATCGTTTTGTTATTCATGGAAGATGGGATTAACAGGCGTCCTTACAGTAGACCGTTAAGAACATTAACCCCGACCAAGTACCTACGTTAGCGACAGGTATACGCGTGCAACGTAATCCTTGCTGCAATTGAATTAATGAGCGTGACCTGTTTCGCCTGATCATATAAATTATGTTAGCAGCACAGAGTGTCTATCAAATAACCTAACATATAAGTAAGTATCGATTGAACTATTAAACACCATGCTACGCCAATTATGAAACCCCGAGTTCCCTGAGCTACAGATTGAAAACAAATTCATCGCTTCTGCCAGCGGCTTCGCGCGCAGTACGAAGGTAAAAAGCACCTCAATACTTAGGTATGTGTTTATCAAGATATAGGTAGGTACCTACCTAGACCTATCAAAATCTAATCTCTATCAAATCTATCTATCTATCTATCAAAAAAACCGTTTAGATCTATCTATGTAACACTTTCAGTTCCGTTCAGCCGTTTTATGGGGAAAAGTAACAAACATCCATCACCTGATACTTACAAATATGGATAAGCGTTTATGATAGATATTAGTTGAATTTTATTAGGAGCCATCGCATGGAGTCGACTTAATTAAAGAGAATCTGTTACCAAATAAATTATATAGGTAGTAAGTACTTACTTGGTTTTAAAACACTGGATGTATATTTTAAACATCTACAACAATTACCTAAAATGTTTTCAAAAACGGTAGGTATCCAATGCGGTAAGCGCCAACCATTGGATAATGCTCGAACCCCGTTTGTGTTCACATCACTCCTGAGGAGAAGATTCTTCTGATGAAATGCAAAAGCCAGTCTAGAAACCACTTAGTGCTAATGACCTTCAAATGCTTGGGCCTACCTCTATGTCTCCAATCGTTGTATATGTTTATCTGAGACAACTTATATAATATTATGTATTATTTCTTAATCGGCTCATAAGATGCCATATGATACTGGAGGAAGAACAACTACCTACCTACATTAACTTAAATGAATTCACTCTGCCATAACAACATACACAGACTATAGTTAATTTATAGGTTGGAAAACATTGGATCCTATTGGGATTATTTATTTACGATCAATAATAATAATATTATGTTTGTTACAAAAATCAATCTCATAGAAAACATTTTATTCAGTGTCCTGGTGTGTCGTGTTGAGCCAGAAGCCTACCTATTGATGTGTCATACGACATTTTTGTAGTAAGGTTAGAGACACACATGGCGTATCGTGCCGTATCGCGTGCCTTCAAATGTCCGGTATGAAGTCAGGACATTTTTTACATAACAAATACCCCACGCCGCACTGGTTTTATAAAGTAAATAATATCAGTAAGATAAACGAGAATATAAAATTGACTTTTTAAATTGCAGCTGGTTGATTATTGTTTATCTGTAGTCGTTTCCTCAATTTTGACAGTTCGCAGCTGGTGCTGTTGGATTGTTTCTGTTATGGATTTTTGAGACCTAAAAGCGTAGATAGTACTTAAATTGTGGCGATAACTAAGTAATATAATCTAAATTTATTACATTTGTAACAGTTTTTATATATATTTTTCCTTTGGCACAATGTATAAGGTAAATACGTTGTTTTTGCATTCTATGTACGCGCAGAAAATGTACATTGTATACAACATTTTTACTTAATCTGCATGAAATATGAAACAAAAATAAAGGTGTATGTGATTGTGAATTATGATTGAGTCGTATTTTGTCCAAATTATCGGATGAAATAACAGGTTGTCAATTTTCAACATGGCTCACTCCGGTCATTTAGTATGGTAGGTACTTTTATGTATAATCGTGATACGATATATATCTTACAAGAAATGTATAATTGGTACACTTATTTACCGTGTTACATAAGATAATTTTACTGTTTGATCTAACATGCCTATACTATGTGCTAACCAAAATACATGTTTACATGTATGTTGTTGCATTAGAAAACATTATTTGCTGAAATTATGTCCGTTTTATTTTCAGATCTACTACAGCCAGTTTTGTTCAATGATCACATAAAATAAAAGGTAAATAATAACTCACCCTACACATGTCTACATTTGTTATTTAATCTCATCAAGCTAAAAACTATCTCTTTATAAACAAAACAATGTATATCAGTAGTACTGATAAACATGTGAAATAGGTGGCTAAATGTTGATATCAATCACTTTACCGGTACATCAGTACTTGTGTTGTACAATTCTCTCAAATATAATTGACTATTGTATTACCATCTACTACTACAACAATGACACAAATATCAAAAAAAGTCTTCATGACAAATAATTGGGTAGTTTCCTTGGGCAAAAAAAAATTGATTTTCTTTTCAATACAATCAATTATTAAATATAATTCCTACTTTCATTGATTGATTTGAGGATATACTTAATCTCACATTTTTTAGCAAGAAAATTTTTCAGAAGTAAATATTCTAGTTAATTAAAAACAATAATAAAATAAAAATATTCAGGTATATACATGATTGTGGACAAAAATATTGAATTAAACTAATTGGAAACTAGTTGATTACCCAATTAATTTTCAAATCCTAATATAACAAAATTAGATATTTCTTTGTAAATCTTAAAACACATCATTCACCAAAGCACTCGAAACACATTTTAATTTTGTATATTATTGTGTCACTGATTTATTTCTGATAACTTTATTTTTTTAGCATAGGGCAATGGACCCAGTTATAGATAATGAATGGCTGGGATGTAAGAATGAAACTATTGACGAAATGCCAAATGTTGGCAACATTGCACGGAGCTGGCAGTGGAGGGAGAGAGGTATCAACCCTCCACACTGCCCTAACAACAAGGCTGTGCTTGAAAACATGGCTGAGGACATACTTGTACAGAAACCCCTTCAAATAAGAGTATGATTCCATAACTTACTAATACATTTTAATTATCTGTTGATTTTAAAGATCATGTTGTAATAATAGTGTTCTATTTCCAGAGCTGTGACTTACCTGGCTACCCCAGATCAACATTTTTAATGGTTTTCAGTCCAGATGGGTAAGTTCACAATTTTTCATGTCTTAGTAATAAATAATATTATTGTATTTTTATCTTGACTCATAGATTTAGATTCATATAAGTAATATTTTTATGATTAACCTAATTAAATTTAAATTTTATTTAATTACCTTCTTTTAATATTGCACCATAATCTTATAATAATCAAAGCAATTAATTGGAGTCAATAATATTATTCTACACCTATATTTACGCAGACTTAAAAATATTATAATCACACTTGCACCTACATAAATAGACCTTAAAATGTTATATTCACACCGAATACTATGCAATTGAACAAATTTCAATAATCTCTAATAATCAGCTTTGTAATACATATGGAATTGCAATTAATGATAAAGTGCCTAAGATTTTCTCATTCAATAATAGATTCTAGGAGGTATTGTATAGTTTCTTATTGCAATTTGTAATTTATTTTCAGTACGAAAGTAGCATCGACGCATGGAAACCATAATGTGTATGTGTCTGAGCTGGCTAGTGGCAAACATGTGCGGATACTGAGGGGACACCCTCGTACTCCGTGGTGCATTGCCTTCCATCCGTCACACCCCTTGCTCATAGGCTCTGGTTGCCTCGGCGGACAAGTCAGGGTGTGGGATATTGCAAGTGTGAGTTTCTTTACTTGTATATTTGTGATTTAAATTAATTGAATTGACAATTTATTAAATTTTACATACATAATTAGAGCAATTTTACATTTTGTTTTATATAATTTATGAAAGGTTTTGTATTTTTTAGGGCGGAAGTGAAGTCTGGAATGTTCGCAACGAAACTGTCATAGCCTCAATTGCTTTTCATCCCCGGGAACAACTGCTGGTCATAGCTACATATAATGAATTATACTTTTGGGACTGGAGCCAACCGGCTCCTTTTACCAAAGTGTGTACTAATAATGTTAATGAAAAAGTGAGGTATGTAAATGAAAAATAAGTAAGTCATTCATGCAGTCACGTTGTGTTTAATTATATTCAGTTTTATAATACAAAATTGACTATTACTTATAGAGTAATGAAAATAAATAGAAATATTTAACGACAACATTTAAATAACAACACAGAGATAGTTTAAATGGAAAAATAATATTTTAACAACTATTTTGCAGCATCTAATCACTTATCGAAAACATAAAATGTAGTTAGCATTTCACTAGTAATAAATATTATGCATTCTTCTTAGCTTGTGTCTTTCAGATATGTGGCTTTTGACGCTCTTGGGTACAAGCTTATCACTGGTATATCACTATGGGCTTGTTCAGGCGGGCCTATCAACAACTCTACAGCGGCACAAAATCCACCCGTGGGCCCGACAAACAACCCGAATAATAATAATTCTAGAAGAGATGACTCAGACGAGAGTCCCGGAACTAGTCGCCAGCAAGACAGCAATGGTTCTGCCCAGGACATGATTGTGAATTCTTATCAAAACTTGGTACAAAGATATGATAGCTTAGTGCGGAATTATCAAAGACTTTTCATGGTACGCCATCGGTTAACCAACACCCCTCCACCACCCAATACGGTAATATTTACAAATCTTTTTAATTCAAGTTTTAACATCTAAACTGTTTAAACTTCTAGATTTCTCTTATGAACAATTTTGTGATTCCAGACTGATCGAGGAACAGATCCTATGGAAACCGATGTTGGAGTCAATAGCTCTGGGGGATACACACGACCTCAGCGTAGCTATACTGCTCAGAACGATGGTAAATGCTTACCATAATTTATTACACATCATTTGCACTGGATTCAAAACAAAATAATTATTCTACTTAAACTATGCTCACTTATGAATTGTCAGATATATTGACTACTACTACTACTTTGAGATACGTCTTGTAATATGTATATATATATAATATATTTTTCAGCAGAACCAGGTCCGAGCACGTCTCGCAGCCAAGATCCAGTAGAAACTGGAGATGGAGAAAACAGTCGCCTGCTCAACTTAGAGGTGTTGTCTATTGATAGCAATCCCCAAAGGTATTTCATAATTATTGTATCGGGCACCCAGTTAAACATATAATTAAAATGATTACAATTTAGTAATGATGATAAAATAACGTTTCAGAAGTACAACTGCATCAAATCAAGAGCGTTCTTCATTTGGATCACGGTCGTCCGCCTTCCAACCTTTGAGCAACTCGGATCGATCGCAAAGATCTATGGAGTTCGAGAGTCCCAGACTGTTACCAAATCCGTTCTCTTCATCTAACGGCACCCCGAGACCGACCAGAGTAACTTTTACAGAAATGCCAGCTTCCAGTTCCGCGAATACTTCACGTACTAGTATTTTCACCTCTTCTCGAGGATCCTCCTTGGGACGAGATTTTTCAATGCGCCGAAGAAACTTTACTCCTGTACAACGTCACGAAACCAATCAAAATGATCCAGCTACTGCAGCTGGTGATCCTTCTTCATTGCCCTTTATATCTCGGAGAACATTCCAGTCTAGTACATTGGCTGATAGCCAACCATCAACATCGGGCACTTCTTCTCAGAGGCCAACAATGACCAACTCATCCACACAGATGAGCCCCCAGACGGCGCCCGTCGACGCACAAACTATTAACGAAAGTCTTGACTTGATTCGTGATATTCTCCGTGACTCTGGAACAAGGTTATTAAACTTAATAACGAACATGTCTCTTTCGACGATGGCGGCCGTGGAGCGCAATATGCCGCGGCGCGGGGCGGGGGCGCGCGCCCACTCCGACGACGGCGAGGCCGGGGCCGCCGCGCGGAGAGCTCGGCCTCGCGTGCGCTTGTTCAGCTCCACTTGGAGACGTGAATTTTTGTCATCCAGTTCAGATTCTGACAGTGATCAATCTTCTGAAGTTAATATTTTTAGAACAAGAAATACTACATTTCAAGAAGACGAGCCTAGGGATCGTGTAAATGCATCAACTTCTTCAGAAAGGCTACCACACCCTACTGACAGACTGGTATTCGAGCTAAACGATGAGTTACGTAATGCTAGTTCTACTAGAGATTCCGGCCCGTCGAGGGAACCGGGAGGTATCAATGTATCATTATCTAATAATAGGTTCCGCGTAAGGACACAAAGCGACACTTCAGGCACTGATGTGGCGTCCTCACCCGCACCCGCGGGGGCCGCATCCATCGGTGTAGGGACCTCGCCCCCAACCGAATCTGAAACTACTGCAGCTGGAGCTACTCCCGGTACTGACGGAACCAGTGCCGCCCCGGGGGGGAGCACAGGGAACACAGCCGACACGCCTGGAACATCAGGCCAACGTACTCAAAGTACCCCAGGCTTTAATCCTGACAGACCATCCACAAGTAGAGACGTTTTTTGGAATAGAGGTGGTGTAGTTCCACCTGATGAAGCTTACAGAAAAGTTAGAAGCGGCGTCAATGCACTGCAGAAGCATACAGTTCAACTGACAAATCTGTGGCTGCGGGGGAGTCGCGTCACTATGAGAGAATTACGCGGGATGTGGGAGACCTTACGTCGACGTATAATTACGCTTCATAGAGAAACAGGAACACATGCTGTTCCTGGTTATTACACAAGACCTTTACTAGATCGTTGCATGATGCTAACTGACATGGCAGAAAACTTTACACGCACTACAAGAAACCCAAGAACTACCGCCAGAAACGAAGATGTTGATAGAAATTCAGCAGGCCGCAATGCTACCTCTAACAATACAAGTAATGCGTCAGCACAAAGTGAGCGACACACGTCAGCCGGCGCTGGAACCGAAGGCAGGCCACCACAGGGTGGACGGTCTACTCAAACAAGAACGTCACCAAATATGCGATCGTCTCCTTCCCTGAGAAGAAGATTACAATCAAATTTGCGCTGGCGCCCTGAGGATGAACTCAGAAGGCGGTCTCGCAATCCGACCGCTTATCGCATAGCATCGCGTTTTACCAACCGATCGCGTAGGGACTTCGCGCGTGCTATAGAAATAAGTGCTACCAGACATGAAATACGCATGAGAGCCATGCAGGTGTTGTCGGTCATGTTCAATATGATGATGATGTGTCTAGAAGAACCAGGGCTTAGTCAACTTATCATTAGCATGTTACGGACTCTGAAAAGAGCTTTAGCGTTAACTTGCCTACTTGTTATGTCCAATAGGAATAACGGACGGCCCGCAACGAACCAAGCTCCTGCACCACAACGCGTAGAATCCTTAGATGTTGTACGCATTCAAAATGTTGACCATAATGTTGACGTTAACGTTGACGGACCCGATGAACAGGTTCCGAACAGTGCACAAAATGGCGCAGAGCCAGAGGCGACTCGATTGCGGCAAACTGGCGGTAGCAGTGCCGAGACACCATCTACATCCTCTACGGCTGAAACCGTCAAAACAAACAATAGCAATATAAATCCACAAGAAGCTTCAACTTCCACCTCCACCGCTAGAGTTTCACAAAAATGGAGCGATCGGCTTGCCGTCCAAATCGCTGCAGCCAACAGAAATAATTCTGCAACAGCAAGAAGCAGAAGAGAACTGTATATGGAGAGTAGGAGGTTAAAAGCATTACATAGAACTAATCCTACTGCACATCCTCTTATCAAAAAGAGGGTTTTACCACCAGTTTCAAACTATAGAATACCAGCATTGCGGAGCCTTCCTAGGAGGCCTGGCGTAACAAGATTCCGAAGTCCAAGAGTAGACGCATTAAACTCAAACGAACCAGTAGCGGGGCCTTCAAACGCTCCGCCTCCTGGTGAAAACGGTAACCTTCAGGAATCTCCTGGTAGTGAACTGATGAACGAGTTTGAACACAGGGTAAATTTCATACGGATAGCTCACATGCAAGCAGTGAGATTAAGAAATGCAGCCAGAAACAGGTTTCGACGCTTACAGACAATCCGCCTATACACGCCGTCGTCTGTTCGAGAGATGTTCTCTGTACAGGCGAACAATGGTGACACTCCGCCAGGCAACCGCTCGCCAGGCCCGAGCGGCTCTGCAGAGGGCGGGAGCCGCCACCCGCTGGCCATGTTCCGACCCCACATCCTGTCCTCCCGCGCCGACCCCGCCGGCCGCGACGACCTCAGCCACCAGTTCCATACCGTACTCAACAACGTCGCCATGCCGCTTATGCATATGAGCGATCTGCCCGGGAACGAAGCTCCTGGCACTCAGCGGCTGCCTAGGATACATGAATATCTGCAACCCATCATTTTGGCCCAGGTAACTGAATATCCATATAAATATAAAAATCAATGCCACTTTCCCTTGTAATTTTATAACTCTAAAATTCTTAAGCTTCATACTTGCAACTTACTTTTACCAACCTGCCTTTGACCGGACTACACACAAAATCCACTACTAAATGTAGTGGATTTTGTGAAGTAGGGACAAAATCGGTCGAGCACTTCTTGATTTATTACATAGCGAAGCACATGCCAGGCCGCTTGTGTGTATTATATAAATTGATTATTTTCTCAGTTAAAATGTTATTAACCTCTCAATGAAATAAAATAACCATGCAACTTGATGAAAATCTAACCGCTAACCATACATCTTATAAATTAATTGCATTGCCATAAATCAAAATGTTACGTTGTTCTGGACCATGCCAACTTAAGTCGACTCAATGTGATATCTATTACAAATTTCACAAAAATGTAAATGTCTTGTTCCTGACATTTCATAACAAACATTTAGTTTGTGTATTTCGAAACATCCCAATTGTCGTGACCCTGATTTGAGTGGTTCGTTTTGTACTTTAGAACGCTATGGTAGTGGAGGATGAAGGCGGTCACGGTGAAGGCGGTGGTGGCGGCGGCGGCGGTGGCGGAGGCCCGGGCGCGCGCCGCCTGGCGGGGATGGCCGGCATGGCCAGCCTGTTAGACGCCGGCATCATTTCTGAAACGCTGCCCGCCCCCTCACACCGCGTGCAGGCTTGGGACTTTACCACCGGACACACCCCCGAGATATCGGATAGTAAGAGCTGTCATAATATAAATATTATGTCATTGTGAACAATTTTTTTTATTCATATGTCGGCAATCGAGTAGTCTGATTACGTGATGGTAAGCAATCAGCGCCGCCCATGCACAGCCGTAACAACAGAGCAGTTGCGAGTACATTGCCGATCTTTTGGGAGGGATTGGGGGAGGGGAAGGATTGGGCATCCGGTAACCTCACTCACACGGCGAAACAACTCTGGTTGTTTCACGCCGGTTTTCTGTGAGGTCATGGTATCACTCCGGTCGAACCAACTCATTCGTGCGGAAACATGGCTCTCCCACACTTATTATCGTTTTATTAATCTAACACTTTTATGTATTATCAGGTACTAAGAATGTAGTGGTCCAGCGATGTCGCATCCACAATGATGCCAGCATTGACATATCCAAGGACGGTAGACTACTAGTGGCACTTCTTCCAGTGCCCAGACTGAGGAACACAAATCATTGGCTAGGTGAGTTATGGTTAAGCAGCAGTAGTCGGTAGACGGAATCCTAGTGTAAAGACGAAAGTCAAAGTCAAAATCAAAATCAATTATTCCAACTAAACTATAAATATAGGTTCTTTGAAACGTCTAAGTAGTCTGTCAGTCTGTTCGTCTGTTAAGCTTGGTCCTCGTTCCAAATTGTAAATTCGAATGGAGAAGAACGAGCAAGCAACTCAATCGTTACTCTTTTTTAAAAATATATTTTATTTACATTCTCGCTAATACATTATTTAGTATACCTTAAATTATTGTACCTATATGGGAAAACGATGCAAAGACAAGTTCTTGAAAAAAGAACAAATGATAGGATCTATCATTCGTTTCGAACATGGCGCTCGCATATGCATACTGACAATCCAAAAGAATGCTTCCATATAAACTATACTACCTATTATCACGTGGTTTCACCCGCTGCTCGGCTCCTACAGATCAGAGCGTGACGTGATCTTAAAGCCTAATGCGATAAATAATCTATTCAGCAAAAAAAAATTTCAATTCGAACCTGTAGTACCTACCTAAGATTAGCGCGTTCAAACAAATTATTTAGCTTATAACATTAGTATAGATTTGAAAACGAATGAAGTAATATGTATTAATTTAATGGGACACGGCAGGCGTGTACTCGCTGGAGTGGGCGCGGTTGGGACAGTGCTTGCATACTGCGGTACTGGAGCAAAGCGCGGTGTCGGTGGCGCTGTCGCCCACGGCGCGCCATCTGGCGGTTGGGCTGGGCTCGCGCCGCTTTACTACGGCGCCCCATGCACGAAACAACGTCATCGCCCTCCTGTACAAGCTCGACCCACTCGGTACGTATTACTCATAAAACAACAAAACCTTTAACCTTTTCGATTTCCATGGTCGACTATAGACGAGAAACGCAAAATTGACTAGTTTGCCAATGTCGAGCAAATCCGATCCGTTTGTCGACCATAGCAGTCAAAGGGTTATCTTCTTCGATTTCATTTGAAAACCATGCCATACATAGATATTATATGCTAATAAATATCTTGTTTGAATTTTAGAAAGTTCCAGTCGCACGGGCCTGTCTCCTATAAAAGAATTGGAACAAAATTGGGAACATGGCTTTACTAGCCTTAATTGCCTCCGCTGGGCACCCCAACCGGGCCAAGGACTCGTCTATGCAAACAACACTGGACAACTCATAGTAATGAGCTAAGTAGAAGCCATCATGACATTTGACTACAAACAGACTCTGGATACAATATCACTGCCACACTGACTGCTGTTTTTGTGACATCCAGTCAATTAATTTTTACGCATGTGGCAAATTGTTCCTGTTTATAACTACTTAAATCCCTCTGTTTATAATCCATAATGTATTTAGCATAAAGTCGAGCATTTGAAAAATATCTTTTGGGCAGAATTATCAAAGGTTGTTACATTGAAAGCTGTCCGATTTTAAAATACATAGTTTGTAATGTCCAATACAATATTCTAAATAAATTGTAATTGATCTCGTGAATTATTTGATTGGAACTGATTGAGCAAGAAATGTCTGTGGTGTAATAGGTAACTCAAAACTAATTGTTATGGTAATTGTTCCAAATTAGAGTTACAACTTCAATGCTTGTATTACTTACCACATTAATATTTAGGATATAAATGTAAATCGATGCGTGTGACTCGTAATACTTGATTGAAAGTTAGATTCGTCGCCAGTCTTCAGATATTTATTCTTTGTAAAAACCTGATTTCTGTAAATTCGTAACACTTACCTATTAGAAATTTATAAGACTTTATCCCTTTTACATAGGTATATATATATATATTAAAGTTTGTGTTATTGTTATGCACTACCTTACGAGATTTCGGTGTAAAATTATTTATGTTAATTTAATAAATTTCGTTTCGAATGTACATGAAATCATGTTGCGTTATGTAACACAGTTGTTCTTTATTTTGTTTATTCTTTTGAAGGTAGTGTGTTTTCAGTTCTTCCATTTTTATATTATTATGACGTTCTGGCGCGGCGCCATATTTAAGTTAAATAAAGGAGGTTTTTTGGTCCTTATTATAATCCGCCATTGTGTCATTTCTGTCTAATTGTTAAGACAAATTTATTTAATTATAGACAGTTTATAAATCCATCTTAGACTTAAGGCTAATTCTACACAATCAGTTTTAGTTACATTTCATTTGATCTTGATACTTCAATACAAACTGCCCAGATTGAAGAAGCCTAAGTCTGAGACTGATTTTCCCGCGTTATAGACTGATGATCGATCCGACCAGGGTACGATGGGTAGTTGACAAGTGTAAAACTTGAAGTGGGATATTTATAATAAAATTATTTATTGTAAAATTTTTACTTGTATTATATTATATTAGTATGTAATATGTTTACTTACTTTCTACAATAGTCGAAACCCAACATGCATTTAAAGCGATCATTAACGTAATTCTAGCCCATTATTTTGAGCCGTCTAAAACTCTTTGCTTGATGCCATAACGGAATTTCAAACTCGCTTGACTAATACACTTTGAGGATTTTTTTTGAACAAGGAAGCACGAGCTTCGCAACATACCATCACCACATACTTTTATGTAGGTACTCACATTAGTTGTTTTCATTTGATGGTACCTAAATTCTTCTGCTATACCTACCGCAGAGAAACTTGTAAATAAATAATGGGACTATCCTTAGTTGGGAGCAAATATATGGAATTTGACACCATTTCTATGTCGAATTTTCAACGATAGTGAAGCAAAGTAGTACTGATAGATTAGCAACAGTTACATATGCTATGTCTGACATAATAAGTAAATTTATCGTCAGCTTAACACTCAATCATCAGGGAGAAGAGAGCTTGAACTATAACGATAAAGTTACTCACTTGTGCTATGTGATTGTAGTTGCATTGTATGTATAACAATATTGACTAATTTTTTTATGAATTTGAGGCTGGTTTCACATGCTCTGGGTAGCCACTATTTACAAAAAGAAAATAATGGAACACAATTTAAATGAAGTATCTGCTAGTCAAAATTTTAAGGAGCGGTGAAACTCAGCCTTGTAAAATGTCGACGTAGGTTTTCCTCATTGCCTAGTTAATCTCATGGGTTTTTTACTACTCTATGACTTGTTGCTTATTTATCGTGCTAGTGACATTATTAGAGTTTCTGATAAACCAAAATTGTTTACAATGTTGTACTTACCTTTATTTTTATTTTCTATAACGAAGTTTTTTCAGGTAAAGTCTGGAGAAGACAATGAGATTTACAATTTCTAAATGCTTAGTAACGAAATTTGATGAAACTTTCTGTTTGCAAACACTTAATATTTAATATATTCACTTTTCAATACATTGAACATACATACCAAATATTGAATGTTTTAATTATTTCCCCGTACCCTAACTACCTGTACTCAATCTGGTAGATCAGAACACATCCAATACTTTAGCAAAAGATACCATAAATTGGGTTTTTATATGCCTGATATCAACTAAGAAAATAACATTGGTTATTATTTCACTCCAGTTCAAGATGTAAAAAAATATACGTTCCTGCAATCCTCCTTTTTTTTTCAATATTCTATCATACCTTTTTCTAATAGAGGTGATAGATCAAAATCTAAATGGTAGTTTCCGTTTTAATATAACACAATTTCCACTAACGTTACATATTTTATGCTTATGTAATAGAATGCTTGCTTCTCTTGTAAGCAAATAGGTACTAAGATGTAAAAGAATCTACCTAACGACATTAAAACAAAAAAGTATTGCAGTAACTGTTCTATATTCGAAATTATCTGTAGTATTCGACATATCAGTGATCATCTAGACCAAATAGGCGCCTCAGTCCTATTTCACAAAAACGTCATCCTATTCATCGGGTGGATAAACTGTCTGACCTTTTTCTGTAAATATTTTTATTTCTTCAAACATTTTGTGATAATTTGTAAGAATAGATTACAATGTACAGTTTTTTTAAATAAGATTCTGTGTACAGATCCTTCATGTGTCTAATAAAGTCCTAATAGACCAGAAGTGTTTTATTTGTCTCTGCTTCCCATCCTGTAAAGGGGTTCTCTTATCACTTGTATTGAAAAAATAAATGAGAATGATATAAATATTGTATTTATTCCGTTTCTATAGAATGTAATTGCATGTAATGATGCTGACAAAATAATAATTACACATTAAAATATCATACAGAAATTTTGAAAACTTATGTTACCTATCTATAAATATTCTTCAATAAAAATATACCGTGTTAATTTTGCGAAGATATACTATATCAAATGAATTAAGACTAAGCATGAAACAAAATGTATTAAAGACAAAGGGTATAGTTTGATGTTTAAAGTAAATAAAGATAATATTTCTTGATGTAATTAAAACCAATACTGATAAGAATGATATACATATACAATATAAAATATATTTTCCTTCGTGTTCAACAATTTATACTTCTGATATTGATTTAAATACAAAAAATAAACATTACAAAACGCTCCAATTTAAAATGTCATATATACAAATCTCCTTCAAAGATCATGTTTACCTGTATTATTTTAGTCATTAACCGAAGATAATATAAAAACTTAGGGAACTTGCAGACTAATGTGACAAAATATAAAGATAAATATTTCGATTGTGACTCCAAAGCTGTCACTAAACACGTCATAAAAACTAAAAATGGTTTTAACAACTTACAAAAGATATAAGTCAAACCATAAGTAACACTAATTCCTACAATTGTTTATTAAAAATGTTAATTTGCTCGTAGCACAAATATACTTTCCCTGACTCATCACAGACCAAATGTAAAAATCTATTTAGATTTCCAATGTTTATTACTGAACCTTGTGTCATAGCGGCGCCGCACAACACCCTCTGGTGACTTAGAAGCATTTAAATATAATAGCATCTATAACTAACTTCTTTCTGAGGAGGAAGTGGCTATTTAATGAAATGCAATAAGTGTTAGTGTTCCGAAGGCTTGAGTTCTTTAATTTGCTTTATAAGGTAAGCCTTCTCATCATTGAACTGTTCATCCTCAGAACGGTCTGTGTGGAATTTGGTGAGGAAGTCTACCAATTTGTCTTGATTCCTTAGCAAAATATCCAATATTGGTTTAGGTTTATTGGGGTTGGCTACAAATACCTGAAACAGTAACAATTTAATGTTAAATTCTGTTATATATAGTTGACTTTAATCATATCTTTATTTAAAGTTATTTTTACCTTAAAAACATGGAAAGCCTCAAACTGAATGTTACGTGACTTTTCTTTAAGCATATTCATCATAAGCTTAAGATTATCAGGGTTGGTGATGTAACGTGTCATTATAGAGAAATTGTGGCGGTCCAGTAACAGTTCTCCCAGTAGCTTCAGACTCTGCCGTCGAGTTACATAGTTCTCAGAATTGAGCAGTCGCTGATAATGACTGAAAACTTTATCATAGTTTGTTTCTAGAAACTCGGCACACAACATTTTATGTCGCGTTAGCAATTCCTGAAAAATACAAAGAAAAAATGTAAGAATTTTTGAAACATATCAAATCTTACTCATAATTATAAATCACAATCATAAAGTATGTACATGTATAATCTATTATGGGCACTTAGCCAATTTTAGTTGTGTGTTATGCAGATTTTTGTAGAACTTCATGACTGCAATAATTAATTCAAATATTTAGACTTATCTAAACTGAAAAAGTATATATGAATCATATTATTTTTTTAAAATACAAGAAAAACAAACCTTAAAAGTAGAAAAGGCATCTGAGGCAATATCAAAAGTGGAAACTTCTACATAACGGAAGAAATTGTAAAAATCATCTGAATACAGCATTATTTTAGCCAAAGCCTCGTATCGGGCACACTCTCGTAGCATTGTTCCACAGTTGGATGCTATCTCCTGATGTTCATACCTGGAAAAACATTTATTTAAGTTATTATTTATTTTATTGACTAACACAAGAAAAGGTTTTTAATTTTTACAAAAAATTAATACATCAAGGAAAATATGTTAAATAACATTTTACCCACCCAGACATCAAAGTAAACAGTATCTCAGGCTTGGTGCATATGTACTCGACTGTGGGAGATCTGGTACCAATCTGACGTCTAAGCACATTGTTGAACACTTGGGCAACATCCTTCTTGCCTTCAAAGTCAATGCGGTTAAGATTCTATAGACAAATAACATGAGTCATTATATATGATAATACATCACAATAATTTATTGATTTTATACTCAAATATTCTGATACCTGGATGAGAAGTAGGAGCAAGTTAGTGTTATACAGTTCCTGAGCTAACTGTGCTACTATGATATCCGTTTGTGGTTCGGCGTCGGATGTGCCATATAGCATGTTCTTTATCAAAACCTATTGACATAAAATCAACACTTAAAATCATCCACTTAGTTACCAATCCAATAAAAGAGCACCTCTCATTGTTGAGCAACAAAATACTTACCAGATTTTTGCTTACATCTTCTTGAGCTTTTTCGGCTTTCTTATCACCCCTTTCTAAAGCAGTAACTGCATCTTTCAATGATCTCACAAGCTCCGCTGGGCTCTTTTGAGACTTACCAAAAAGAGGCATATTCTTGCGATAAAATAGACAGATGATCTAAGCAATACTGTCTACATAAGATTGTACCTGTAACCAACGAACCAATACGTATAATAATATCACAAAATCAAATATTTTATGCGATTGTTCTTGATATTTCACGAGAATGCAGGAGAAACGAAATTTGTCAAATTTATAAAACGTTTGCCGACCTGGCGTGAAGACACTGAACTAGAAAACAATGTTCAATTTAGTTTAATTTTACTTAGATTGATGATAAATCCAAAAATAATACTAAATATAACTCACTTTCAGATTAATTATTACAATTTTCCCTAGCAAGACAGACCACACGAAACGAACAGCTGTGATGTCAATAGAAATCTGTCTTGCCAATTTATAAAAAAAGTCAAATGTTAAGAAAATATTCTTGTGTATAATACTTAAAGTGCAACAAATTATGCAACACGCAGTTATAAAATTCTTTGAATAATTATCATGTAATGTTGAAATATTAGACGCTGCCGATATTCAAACATTTTCAGTTAAAATTTTATTTGTACATAAAATTAAGAGCCAGAGTCGAGGCTTATGATAAGGATAAGGGCCATTAATATTAATATAAAATGTTATAAAAAGTCAACACAATTAAATATCTATTGAAATTAGAATCTTAAACCGAATACAGAAAATTGATAAATTATTTGTCCACACAAATCAAAGAGCGCGATAAATTAAATTAAATAATGTTAAGCTAAAAGTTGTTTGATTGTTTTAAATTACACCGGGTATTATATATCAAGATAATACAAACTGGATATTTGGAAGCACAGAAAATTCAAGCAAGTTACCTACTATATTCAATATGGTAGAGTTCAGGAAAGTTAAATCGCATTGTTCATAGCCAGCTTAAAGGAGTCCTTGCGCACTATTGCCAATGCCAACCTCTCTGTTTAGCTGTTTAATCTATGAAACATGATAACGTGTCAAGACGTATATGTCAAATGAAGTTTTAGGTTAGAAAATTCTTCTTATTAGAGTTGTAGCTGTTAGCACATTTTATAGCACTACTCATAAAGTCATGGCTGAAACTGCTACTGAAAAGTTATCAAAAAAGTGAGTATTGTGTGACTAAAAATGTTTGCCCTGAAGAACTTATGTACCTTATCTTTAAAAACTAACAATTTGATCAACCGATGCGCCAATCTGTCGTCTGCAGTCAGCAAACGGTTAGTGCTATTTCGTAGTATTTTAAGTTCATTAATAATACTTATGCGTTATTCTATATTATCATTTTAGTGAATTGAAGAGGCGATTGAAAGCCGAACAAAAACTGAAAGAAAAGGCAGAAAAAGCCGCTCAGCTTCCAACTCCTGCAGCTGAAAAAAAGTCATCTACTAAAGCTGAGGAGGAGATCAGTCCTAATGAGTATTACAAGCTGCGAACTGCAGCTGTTGCAGCTCTTAAAGAAGGATCTAAAGATGACCACCCATATCCTCACAAATTTCATGTTACAATATCTTTAGAAGAGTTTATCGAAAAGTACAATAATGTTAACAGTGGTGAAGTTCTTGAGAATGTTACACTGTCTGTGGCTGGTAGAGTTCACTCTATTAGAGAATCCGGAGCCAAACTCATTTTCTATGATTTAAGAGGTGAAGGTGTGAAAATTCAGGTGAGAATAAGTTTTTAATTGGATCCCAAAATTACATGAACTGTCAATGACCTGTACAAGTAATTTAAATATGCTCCACTATTTCAGGTTATGGCTAATGCTAAAATGTATGAATCTGAAGAAAAGTTTGTAACCGATACAGACAAACTGAGAAGAGGTGACATCATTGGATGTGTTGGTCATCCTGGCAAGACAAAGAAGGGTGAACTGTCCATTGTACCAAAAAGTATTAAGTTGCTATCTCCATGCCTACATATGCTGCCTCACTTACACTTTGGTCTTAAGGATAAAGAAACCAGGTTTAGGAAAAGATATTTAGATCTTATTTTAAATGATAGGGTAAGTTAACCACAATACATATTTTCTCTACATAACTGTAACAATATAATTTCTAACACTTCATTGTTATTCAGGTAAGACAAACTTTCTACACAAGAGCTAGAATCATTGCTTATGTAAGGAGATTCTTGGACAACCTTGGTTTTCTTGAAATTGAAACTCCAATGATGAATATGATTCCTGGTGGAGCCACAGCTAAGCCATTCATTACACATCACAATGATCTCAACATGGATTTGTACATGAGAATAGCACCTGAACTGTACCACAAGATGCTAGTCGTTGGAGGTCTGGACCGTGTCTATGAAATAGGCAGACAGTTCCGGAATGAAGGTATTGACTTGACTCACAACCCAGAGTTCACAACTTGTGAGTTCTACATGGCATACGCAGATTACAATGACCTCATCAGTATAACTGAAACTATGCTATCTGGAATGGTGAAAAGTATTCATGGTACTTATAAAGTAAGTTAATATCAATTAAGATAATATAAACACTGTGAAACAATGTGTCTTATTGTGCAATTGCAGTTTTTATCTATGAAAGATCAATTCTTGTAACCTCTTTGTTTTCATTGTACTCACAATAGGTTATCAGAGAGCTTCTTAATATGTTAGTAATACATTCCTATGTGTAATTCTGATAGTAAATAATATAGTACTCTGATAAGAAACTATGAATCAAATTAGATTTATGAATAAATAAAAATTCTGTTACAAAATCTATTTCACAAATTCTGTTAAAAGTAGATTTTACTAAAATATTTTTTTTGTCAGGTAAAATATCAACCGGATGGACCAGAAGGTGAAGAAGTAGAGATAGACTTTACCCCTCCATTTGCTAGAGTGCCTATGATTGCCAGCTTAGAAAAGGCACTGAATGTCAAATTTCCACCAGCTGATCAATTAGATTCAGCAGAAGCTAACCAATTACTTAGCCAGTTGTGTGAGAAGCATGAAGTAAGTATTATTACAAAAAGTTCAGTAAAAATTGTCATTCTCATTAATAAAAATAACTGACTGTGACTTGATGTAACAAAACCTAATTTTAATTGAATTAAAATTGCTATTTCTATTGTAAACATGGTATAATTTGAACAATATGATGTATAGTCTTACTTGGCACTGTTGACTCAGGTGATTCTACTTATGTTTATATTCAATGGAATGAACTAATATTCTTTTATTTATAATTTTACACAAATATTGATATATGTACAATGATTTAAAGTCTAGTGTATAGGTACTTATGGGTTTTGTTACCAAAGTATATCTTTATAAATTAACTTATAAAAATAATCTTTCAGGTTGAATGTCCACCCCCAAGAACAACAGCAAGACTTCTAGACAAATTGGTTGGAGAATTTCTTGAAGAGAAATGTATAAATCCTACATTTATATTGGACCACCCTCAGATCATGAGTCCCTTGTCCAAGTACCATAGGGATATCCCTGGTTTAACAGAAAGGTAAAGTAATCTTTATGTAAATTCTAGCTTCAAAGATACTTTGTTGATAACAGAAAAATAACCCAAAATTTTCTCTTTCTTTTTACTTTAGATTTGAACTTTTTGTAATGAAAAAAGAAATCTGCAATGCATACACAGAGTTGAATGATCCTGCCACCCAGAGAGAGAGGTTTGAACAGCAAGCCAAAGATAGGGCAGCTGGTGATGATGAAACCCCACCTACTGATGAAGCCTTTTGCACTGCTCTGGAATATGGTTTGCCTCCTACAGCTGGATGGGGCTTGGGTGTTGACCGGCTTACAATGTTCTTGACGAATTCAAACAACATTAAAGTAAGTTTGGTTATTTTTATGGATCTACGGAATATAATATTAATACTTTATACTGATTCATTTATTTTTGTTATTAGGAAGTACTGCTGTTCCCAGCTATGAAGCCAGATGACCCAAATAAACACAATGCCGATGGAGAAAATGCTTCGGCTGAACCTCCAGTTCAAAATGGAGCTTGAATAACTATTTATTTAAATGGTTGATTGCGTGTAATGCCTTCATGTTATACTAACTCTGATTTTCTTTTAAATAATAAATAATGTTATATCACAATGTTTTGGTTTTAAATGAAGAGATAACAGTACATAATAATTAATTTTATTATTAAATAATATATAAAATTACCAGAAATGTTGACACAAACTATTATTTACATGTACTTCAGTAATTAAATGCGTTGTAATGACATGGCATGGACTTACAACTTTAATAAGAGCCTGATATTGTTCTATCAGATACACATCATACCTACATCTTTAAGTTAACATGATCCAACTTCAACTTCTCCTTGAACAGTTGAGTTATAATGTTCCCCTAGTCCATACATATGTCTATGATATGTTATTATTAGGGGTGGTTTCTCATATTCATCTCCTTGATCAATAGAACCTGGTCCAGTTGCCTGAATAATTGTAATTGGACATTGCAAAGAATTAGACAATGCTCTAACCTCCAGCTGACCACCCCACACTTTAGTATTTTCAAGCTTTTCACAATATTCCTCAAATTCTTCATCAGTTAACATTTCGAATGTGTCAGGATTCGTCATAAATGGAAGAAAGTCACCTTTATTTTGCCTTATGTATTTTGCAGCACTGACTCTCAATTCATCTACAGATACATCTTTTTTTTTGATGATTGCCAATTGATGAGAGATAGCTTTATACAAACAGTCACCATCTGACGGTATCATGAATATTTTAAGTCCTCTTACTTTCAATTTGTTGTTTATTTCTTGTAATTCAATATTTCTTGGACCATGTCGATTTTCCTGTTCTTGTTGCTTTATTAGTTCATCTCGCTCTTTTTCTTGCTGTAATTTCTTATCTCTACGTTTTTGAGCTTTAGAAATTTTTACATTTGTTAATTCATTTTCTACATTATTGAGAACAGTATCTGTTTCTTCTTTGACGTTTTTATTGGCTGTATCAATTTCTTGCTGATGCCTAGTATCCATTTCAGTTTCTAACCTTAATATTTCTGCTGTTAACTCTTTTCTTTTTGTCTTATCATTTTTTGCGGCTTTTTTTAACGCCTGTATCTGTGCTTGTAGTTCCTTCTTTTCTTTGCGGTGTTTGCTTTCTAGGACCGCTAATTCATTTTCTTCTGTATCCATTTTCTAATTAGGTATGAAAATTATTTATATCAAATATTTTAATCGGATGAATTGATGTCTTGATGATTTTTAGAACTTGCCTGATGCCCTGCTTCTGCTTATAATTTCGCTTTTGGATAACTCAACCATAGACTATACAATATATACGAACTCAACTATCATTGGGACAGCCGACAGTTTCATGTCTGTCAATATGGTCAATAGTGTTGCATAATCACTGTCAATGTCAAAGTGTTTAAAATGTCGAGAAAGTGTCAAACTGCTGTCAGTCAAAAGCACGGGTCAAAAGCAAAAATGAACTTGAAGCCAACACCTCTCATATGGAGGTCAAGATGAATAAAATTGGCAATCGGAAAAATATATTTTTGAGATTCCAACATTGAAGAAATAAAACAGAACAGCATATAGTTTGGCAAAACTTGGAGGAATTCATGAAAGTATTACAAGGGGTGTATTGCACAGTCTGTATTTTCCATTACATTAGCTGACTAATTTACTAATCTGTGAAATTTGCGTCGCTAATGGCAGTTTGACATAAATTTGACAATAGTGATATTGACAGTGACGGGTACGTGCAGCAACCCAACACAACCCTATTAGAAACCGCCAAGTTATTTTCATCTCCGTGGTTTTATTGGATGTGGTAAATCATTGCTCTTTTATTTAGAAATATATTTATGTGATATTTTTTCTTGCAATATTGTTGTGGAAGAATGAATCCTTGTTCAGTCGCTGCCCCTCAACAAGACACAGAAGGGGATGGAAGATGGTATAGCATTGTAAGTTCTCTATTTTAATATCAATTCTTGAGCCGTTACAATTGCTAATATAGACGGTTGAATTCACAGTACATTTTCTGATTCACATACGTGTTAAAATTTTTAATTAGTTTCGGATTGCATTTACTGACCTAGATTGTTAATAATCGGCAAATGCAGATTACTGTAATCTAACACTAATCCGGTAACAAGTAATTGAATGTGCACCAATGTTGCCCGAGAGTGTAATTCTGTGGTGGAAACCTTTTTGCCTGATTACAAACTCATGACATTATTATAATCAATACAAAAATGTATTCTAATCAGTAATACCTATTGCAGCATAATCGATTTTTGTCAGATGCCAAAGGGAAAGATGGTGATGTGATTTTCATTGGAGATTCAATCTTACAAGCTCTTGAGCATACTGAAGTATGGAACCAGTGGTTTGCACCTCTGCATTGTCTCAATTTCAGCATCCACAAGGATCAGACTCAAAATGTTTTGTGGCGTATCAAGAATGGAGAACTTGACCATGTTGATCCAAAGGTGTGCAGTACAATATACTATATTAAATCCTATCCATTTATTTGGTAATTATGAGTTTCACAATTTTGTGTTGTTTTAGGTAATAGTTGTACATGTTGGAACAAACAATGTTGAATATACTGCTGAGCAAGTGTGTGATGGTATCCTAGAAATAATAAGAACAATCAGGGAGAAACACCCAAGTGCTTACATAGTGTTGCCTGTAAGTATTGTTAATCATAAGGATTTTTGTACAGTCATTTACATTTTGTATAATGTATAATAACCAGTTGGTTTATTGAATTTCAGAGTCTACTTCCTCGAGGTCAATACCCAAATATGTTAAGAGAGAAAAACTCCACAATCAATCAATTGCTACGTGAAAAAGTATCCAATATGAATAAAGTGGAAATGGTTTCAATAGACAAAGGGTTTATTCAAACTGATGGAACCATCAGCCACCATGATATGCATGACTACCTCACACCAACTAATGCAGCCTGTCGGAAAGCATTTGAACCTATTTATGATCTACTGCAACAAATCCTATTTGAGGGAGAGCCCGAAAAAGACTTAACACCTTCTGAATAATATTATTCTTTTTAGTACTATGTGGCAGCTTTTTTTGCAGCAGGTTATTGTGATGAATCCAGTAGTACTTATCATTAGCTTTTTATATTAAGCCTAAGTGTCAAACATTTTAAACTATTGTTAACTTATGAACCTCTACATTCCAAATTAGCATTATGATATTTTAATCGGCTGTGTTTATTTAATCACTCCACTTTTTATTATTGTTTATTTATTATCGCTTATTATGTTTACAAGCTTAATTTAGCTTTTGAGATTGCATTTTTTATGTGCACACTTTATTTGTGCACAACAGGGTTTGTACTTACTTACCTATCTAGTATTTATTGTTTCACATCCACATGATTTTATGTAACTTTAGAAACCATGGGAAAAGTATTATGTTACTATTGTTATTTTTTAGAACCTCTTTTTTGGAGATATGTAACAAAGCAATGTTTTAGTTTAATTTTAGAAGGCTAAATTTAATCTTCTGAATGGTACTCATACTAGTACTAAGTCTTCACCTTATTTCCCTATCTATTTTTATTTTGCACATCACATTAATGGAATTGTTTGTAACCAAAGATCTTGGAAGATTACCTTACCAAAGTTATAACAGTATATGAATTGCATTGGATGATTGTATATGCAATTCTATTTTTGATAAAGACCTACATTTTTTAAATTACATAATAAGACCTGTATGAATAAGTACATTGTTTTAGACTTGTTTTCATTTGTTGCAAATGTATTGTGTAGTGAATGTTGCACAAAATGTGCATAACACAGTTATAATTATTCTCCAATATCACTGTAGGCATATTTAGTGACTATTTAACTGATAAGGTACTCATGTTGCCAAACAAGTTTGCTTGAATCTCGAAATGTTATGGAATATTTATTTGCATGAAGAAGCTTGAAAGTAAACAGTGCAATTATTTCTATATACCAAATGTTGTTTCATTAATTACCCAGTTTAAATTGTTTATCGGATCTGGTAGTATTGCATTATTGAAATTTTAATACTAATAGAAAAAAAAACAATCTTTAAAAAAACAAAGATCTACATATATTTTTTAAAACATCTACTTTTTGTACATAGTTTTAAAATAACAACAGCAACTTAATTGAAAGTCACTACATTTACTAGAATCTACATTACTAATAGTAATTTAATATTTATTGAGTAACCTGTTATAGTACAGCTTGAATGGTAGGGTAGGACTGGTTAGGAGGAGTGACCTGTCAAATATATTAAAGTTCCTCTTTTGAAGTTTAGTCAAATAATTGTGGACAGCTATTCCAGGTAAAAATATCTGCTTAGCAGTTTCAGGAACACTTATTTTTCTTGCCTGAAAATATAAAAATAAGGGTAAGTTTTTTTGAACCATGATTATCCTTTGAATAATGATTCATCACAACAATATACACATTTTTTTTTATTTACTGGACATTAGCAATAATTCTTATTACTTATTCATATTCATTTAATGAAGTTATAGATTTGAAGAGACAAAACTAATATTTCAATGTAAAATCTCAATAACATCTTTAAATCAAACTAGGGTGAAAACTATGACCAGTTTTGGTATTGCCAATTATTTTTCATGATTTGTATTTGGACCATATCAGTGACACCTGTACCTTATCCAAATGACTGTTTGCTCTTGAGGCAATTTCGAAGACTGCATTCCTCATTTGTTCACTGTCAGTGCATCTCAAGACATTTTCTTGACTTAATTGATACTTCATAAGTATATCCATAGGCAGGAAAACTACCTTCTGACGACTGGATACATGGACAGATCTGCAATTATTAATTGAGAGTAGATAAAGGATTGGTTATGACAGCTAATATTGTTTTTTTACAAAGTGATGTGCTTAACATGCAATGTCTAAGTCAAAGTTCCGAACCTCAGTATATTGGTTATACCCTGAGCCTTTCCCAAATGTGATGCAGCATGGTCAGCATGGACATCTTTGAGTCCTGCTACACTTAAAAGGAGGTAATATATAGAAGACACGGATTCTTCAGCATATTTCTCAATTTCCTCTAAGCTTTTAAAATATTTAGCCTTGTTCATGTTACTTCTTGATGTAATAAGATTTTCCAAATATCTCCTTTGTAGTCCATAACAGCAACACACCTGAAAAAATGTTATTAATATTAGACAATATATAATTAGGTACCCATTGTTCCTCATTTATAGTGGTTTCTATGCTGCTAGTACTATAATACACTAGTAGCACACCTATTGCCCTACTATAGTGTCACTAATTACCATGATTGAAAGGGTAAACTTGTTATACCTTAAACAGTTCTTGTGCTACAGGATTTGCAGGTACATTTTTCAGCGTCTGATCTTTATTAAAAATACCCTTGAGAGCATCATGCCAGAATTGTAACCGAAATGCGGCCGTTTGTGCATCAGATGTTAAGTCTTGCACTCGAGCTACTTCTACGTTAAAAGCTCTCAGTACTAGGGCGGGAGAGCGCAGAGATTTCGTCATCAGAAGAGTAGCCAAAAAGTTTTCATAATCATGCTGTCTATCTGTAAAATACATAAAGTACCAGAACATGCGATACAAGGGTTGATTCTTTTAATCCATATTTATCGATATTATTTGAATATTTAATTTAATTTTCAAATATTGTACTAATTACTTTACTATATCTGCACAATAGTCGATTGATGATGTATTTGCTGTAGGTTCTGTTTTGAGTGATCTCGAAACAATTCTTGCAGGTTTAGAAGAATCGAGTATGCGTATAAAAATTCTGTGTTTATTCATTTTTCTAGAGAAATAGAATATATAAATATAATTAATATAACCCTATCAGCTGCTCACTGCAACAAAAATTCACTTCGTTCGTTAATCGATTGTCAAGTTTGACAGTTGTCATTTATGCTGAGTGACACTTTATTTTTTTTCGATTTTTTTAGTTCGGGCTACCGTCATCCTACGTGGGTACTTGTAATTAAATGTAGTGGTTACATACTCTTTGACTTGTAATACTGAACGTATTAATAAAATAACTGAAAATTCACTGGATGTGCCCAGAGTGCACATAATACCGTGCGTCTGTGCCTCGAGATATATATTGAAGAATACCTTATATGAATTGAGACATTCTCTATTTTTTCGAAGTCTGTTAAAAAAATGGATACCTATTACCAATGCATCGGCAGTATGGACCATGGTTGTGGTATCCACGGGCGTGGCTTATTGCGTATTTATTTATAGATAAGATAAGATCTTAATTTGTGATTGTGACGGACACAAATGCTTCGTGCCACGTAAATTGTAGGGGCCCATCAAGATAATCTGTGCTTCAACAGAGATAGTGTCTGGGCCCTGCCACCCGCTTGATAACCAATCTTGAACTCTACGTCAACGTACAGATTCTTCAGTATTCCCAACTTGGAGTGTTACACAGTGAGCATGGCATGAAGCACTAATTATGTGTCGACCTGGGAATCGAACCTTTCAGAACACCGAACTTGTCGTCGTTGGGAGCAAGCCGTTGACTACGCCGTAACGCGCACGCTACATGTTAATAAGAGTTCCATTGTGACTTGAAATTAGTAGAGCTTTTTCGATTAATTGATTTTCATGAGATTCACATGAGTAGATAAGTCGTTATGGTCCAGTAATGTTAGTCAAAATAAGGGAAGAATCTCGGAATTTGAGATACCAAGCTGTACATTTGTATAAAGTTTTATTTGGACATCCTAAAATTTGCCTCAAAACCTACATACTGTAAGGTGTGCACATCTGTCGAAAATTAAGGTCAAAGATTTTTTTATGGTATAAGTAGGCAAATGAGCAGACGGATTACCTAATGGTAAGCAACGGCGCCGCCTATGGACACCCGCAACACCAAAGGAGTTATGAGTGTGTTGCCGGCCTTTTGGGGATAAGGGTTGTGGATATAAGGATTGGGAAGGGATAGGAGACGGGGAGGGATTGGACTTCCGTCCCGCATTCACTGTGGTTGTTTCACGCCGGTATTTTGTCGCCTATAAATATACAGCTTGGTACCTATCTCAAATTCCGAGGTGAAACAACTAAGACGACTGGACAACAAACTTAACATTTTTTTACTCACGCTATTATTATTTAAAAAATAAATAATCTATCTTGAATAGGTTATAGATTATAATAATTTTGTGCGTTGTCGGCCTACTGGGGATAAGGGTTGTGGATATAAAGAAATATAAGTTGTGGAAAATGTTTGAAATCTAAAATAAGTACATACGCATGTTTAAAGCAAAAATGGAGCTCATTTGGTGTCGCATTCAAAGGTGCGTGCGTTAGGTTAAATACGAGTGTAGAAAATGTTGCCAGTGGCGTAGCAGGTTCTACCGAAAAGTAGGTAGATGGAGGATTACCTCGATATTTTCAATATTTATAAAATTCCCTGGCTGCTGGATTATTAAAGGAGTTTGGAATTGCAACATAACGAGGTACGTTCCCCAAGGTACTAAGTACACTAATAGGTATGTACCTACACTACGGTGAGGTACCTATAATGAGCTGTGTGAGAGCCATGAATTCTGCTTTCTTGCGTGCACAAATAGGCCGGCTGGACCGATTCGGTGGAGCGATAAAACACCGCTGAAAACCATGTTTGCGTTGTGTTACGTTACGTTTGTGAGGTTGTTGGAGGCCGAATACTTCCCCTCCATTCTCAATACCAAATTACCAATCTTCAAATCCCTATCACTCAAAAGGTTGATAGTCTTCGATTTTCGGTAGCCTTCGAGAAGGAAAGAGGCGGTTTTTAATCAGTATAAAAGTCGGACACTGCCTCTTGTCTTGCCCCTGGCGAGATGATTTTCACGCCTAAAAAACAGTCACGCGTCAATAACATAGGTGGTGATTAGGTTTCATCTTTCTACTAATAAGAAGTGTGGTACAGCCAAGCTTCGGCACGAATGGGTCGCCTCCACCGCATTAATACCACGACCTCATAGAAAACCCACGTGAAACAACCACAGCGTTGTGTTTTGCCGTGTGGTTGAGTTCCACCAATCCCAAAATCTTCAAATCCCTACTCCCCAAAAGGTCGGCCACGGACCTTACCGCTATAAGGATGTTTCTGGTCCAATTAAAGACGAAAATAGTGATTTTATTAATTCTTATAATTTCCGTTATTATGATCACGATCGCTGTGTACTTCCCTGGAATGCGAGCAACGAGCGGTTGCCTTGTCTCGCCAACTGATACTTGTAAGTTGTTTAGCTTAAAAACATTTGTTTTTGAAGTTGAATTTATTTAATTTTTACTTTGTAAGAGTTTTTTTATTATACTTTAGGTTAGTAATAGGTAGTAGTTAATTATCACATTGTTGTTCAAAAACTTATTTATTTTATTTATTTTGTACTGTTAATCAACAGAATTGGTACCTAATTCCAATGGATTAAAAAGAAATATATTTGCTAAATAGCAGATGATGTTTTCGCTAAATAATGGTGCTGGTAATTGGTTTATTAATATCGACTTATTTGCATTTCTAGTTTCAACGAACCGCACAAGTATAAGTAAGTTGTAAGGTAAAATTATCGTCATTATAGTTTGTCTATTCTATGAAAATGTCGTGCCGATTACGGGACCGTAAAGAATGGGACGTGCGGGCTTCTTTTCTAGCCCGAAATACATTTAATCCTATAAGAGATATGATCGAAACTCTTCGGATTAAACCGAATCCAGATATACCGTACATCGCCCTCTCTGTAGGTGAGTAACCCTTTGTTTACGTTTATTTTCGCCTAAAAACCCTGCGTTATGAGTCGTTTCGTTTCGAAAATTAAAGTTATAAATAGGACTTATTTCTAAACGTGTCCTCATTCGCACACATTTCAAAAATAAGTACTTACCTCAAGGTTTTAATAAAAAAAATATTTTATTTTCCTATGTTATTTCAACAATGTGTAGCTGTGTTATCGTATTTTTTTTTGCAAATTGTACACCCATAAAAATATTTGAATACATTTTATTTTATTTCCTATACAAATTGATAATTCTGACTGGCTTGTGAGGTCTTAATTTCATTCCGCAGTATATATATATATATATACACACAGTACATTATAAAAATAAATAACGATATAAAGCCTTATTATTAATTATTCTCATGTTTACAATTAAGGTTCTAAAAATTTAAAATAACTAGTTTCCGCCCGTGTGGTTCATTGATAAAAAGTAGCATATATTCCGAAGTGTATCCTATGCCTGTGCCAAATTTCATCCAGGTCCGTTCAGCCGTTTTGGCGTGATTGAGTAACAAATATCCAAACATCGTAGGTAGCTTTCCCATTTAGTAAGATTAGTAAGAAATGTGAGTGGACAACTTTACGGTGAAGGCCTCCTCCAAAGAAAGCCAACTTTCTCGGTCCTTCAATATTTCTAGACAGCGTGCTTCAGCCAAAGGCAAGATAGCATTTGGGCGAGTATTTGGTCTTCCACCTTTTTTTTGCAACCGTCCATGTTATTAGGTTTTAAGGCCAGAACATTACTAGAATTTTTATCTTATCATTCTCAGAGGTGATGAAATTTTAAGAGGCTAAATTGTTAGGATTTCTTTGCAACGTTCTTATGTAGATAGGTACTTATATATGCACATGCATAATGTTTGTTGGTAAAAAGTCCTTACAATTTGCTTTGCTAAATAATAATAGAATATCGTCATTATACCTACTCATGGCTCGCTTTTCAAATAGCAAACGTATAAATCACTTGTTATCTATCTAGGGTAGGGTTGGGAGTGAGGTGCACTTTTTTTGAGGAGTCCAGAGGCGCCGGAAGAGAGCTTCTTGCGCAAAAAAGCTCCAGTGCAAAAACCAGTTGTAGTTGTCAAAGAAAGGGCCCAAATTGGTATATTTATTTGTTGCTGATTACAAAGATAGCATGGAGTACAGACATCCCTGTTTTTATTTAAGGCAACTACTTTTATATTTATTTAACGCTTGAAAAAATAAGTGTTTGTACTTACTGAATGGTTGAGGAGGAACTCTCTCATAATATATATTAATAGGTGTAACAACCTCAGAGTAGGATACGTAGGTACGTACTTAGCTATTTTCATTTGGAAATAAAACGGATAAAAATTAAAATTTTCTGGAACGATTTAAGTTATTAATAAAAACTTCATAAGTGGTCACTACTTACAGCTAAAGCCAAAAATCGTTCTTAATCGATATGGATTGAGACCAAACAAAAAAAAGTTACTTTTTACGCCGTAAGAGTACTAAAGTGTTCTTATACTATACTATACCTAGAAACCAAATTGTATAGTATCCTAGGCACATTTCTGGCGATTGCTTTACAGAGAATCCATCAACTAACAATGACGGTTAACGCCTAATTTAATGTATCCAGTGTAAATTTAAATTTTTAATCTGTTTATAAATCACGCAATATGCCTTTTAGTGCTTTAACCATCAATACAGACGCGAGTACATAGACATTGGTACCTTAGTCTGCTAGATCTTCAAAGGCTTTACAACTTTATGACAAGGCAATAAAGTTAATATTTTTGAAGCAATTTTATAGATCATTTAGGTTGACCGCCTACATTGTAAAGTTATGAATGAAATGGCCTTAGTTACACTTTAGTTTACACTGAAGAGTTGTTACCTTTCTCAAACAATACTTAAGTAATAAGTTACTTAGATAATAAAATAGGAATTCTCAGAGACAGTTACTTCTTTTATAGCACGGATTGGTAACTGTTTCTGACAGTTATGTTTTTTTTTATTTTATTACATCATAGTAATTAATAAGATTAGGTACCTATTGTGTCAGACTGATGAAGGATTTTTCAGTTGTAAATAAAATTGCTTAGTGGAAAGTACTATTATTGGTTTTAATATGTTTTTTTTTTATTAATCCTTGGTCAGCTTGAGAGCATTTGGAGATTTCCTATAAGCAATGCTTTTGATGAGCGTGTAGTTAAGCTACAGTACCTACTCTATATTTATTTATTGGAAATAAAATTGTAATACTGTATGTTTGAAGGCTTAGTCACGTTTTTAGAGATAACTCGGCTTATTACGAGACACGACGCAGTGAAAATAAAATTATAAACTACTGGCGCGGTTTTTAACTAGCTTGGTCATCACACTAAACGGTTACATGTGCAAGCCGTAAAATAAAAAATAAATATGTAATGTAAAATGTCTCATGAATAGTAAGTTTCGTGAGACACGTGAAAATAACGACTTAGCTACGTCAATTAACTGAGAAAAGCTCTACTACTTTCAAGTCACAACGGGACTATTATTCATGGGCAGCGGGCGACGGCTGCGCAAAGTCGCCACAACGCGCGACGACGTTGCACAAAATGTCTTATGAAAGCTGTAATACGTTGTACTTATACCGAATAAAGTGTGCAAGCAAGAGCAATTCTTCGGTACGAACGGGTCGGCTGGAAACCGACGTGAAACAACCTCACCACTTGTGATTGAGGTTGCCGGAGGCCCAATTCTTTCCCTCCCCAAATCCTAAATCTCCAAAACTCTTATGACGTAAAGGTTGGCAACGCACTCGTAACTCCTAGTTGCGGGTGTCTGCCACAGACACCCGCAACTAGGGGCGCCGCCGATTACCTACGTACCACCAAGGTAATCCGTATGGTCGTTTGCCATACAAACTTTCTTTTTTCGAATCCTCCTTTCTCTGGAGAGTACAAAAAATCGCTGGTCCAGTTGATTCATACCATTTCATTAGCCACTCTAAGATAGTTTCAATGGGTAAGGCCGAAAGCCTGATAAGGATCTTATTGAGAATGCCGTTAATGTCAAAATGTCCTTTTTTAAAAAATATAATGGCAGTTGTTTAGTTGTTAAGGGTCGGGCAAACGAGGTTTTTTCTCTCGCTCTTTTTATATTTTGTCTCTGTCTCATAGGTCCAGTATGGAGTCCCGTGGTTTTGGATTAGGTTGGGATTTCAAAAACCAATGACCGCCTGGTATTTGGTCTTGTTCTGATGTAAACCTAAGTTAGTGTACCTTTTTTTTTTGTCAGGGGAAAATCATCCAATGACTTCTCCCGCCCAGGGCCGGGCGGGAGGGAGTGTCAGACTCTTACTGACTAAAAACCCCCCTGTTCCTTCTCCTGCTCTGGGCCGAGGTCGCGGTGCCTCATTGCGCTTACCCCACAACCCCGGAAGTTAGTGTACCTGAATTTGCATTACGTTTTACAACACTTGCAGAGAAATTATTTTTATTTTATACTTAGTTGCGAATCTACTAGCCTTTTAGCCAATCCTCGTGCTATCTAGACGAAAAATGCTACGTGAGTTGACAACTTAAGTAATATCCTATAAATTTTAATAAGTTTGCCTGTTGGTTTTTTACTTTATTAAAGAAAATATATTTTACTATCAAAACCAGATACTTATAAATAAAATGATCTGTTGATCAACATCGGCATATCACGAGGCGAACTGACAACAAAACAACAATCACGCCATTGCAACAGGTTTTCTGTAGAAGACAAACATATTTGCATATGTTTTGCTTTCCCACAAATTAATAAAAAAAAAAAAACAAGGAAAGTGTTTTAGCTGTACAGGTATAACTTGCGTAATACATAGTAGGTGTACCTTTGTACCTACTTCACATTTGCTTTCTGGCAGAAAAGAGCTCAAAAATAGTAGCTGCGTACTTTTCCCCCGTTCCTTCTCCTGCTCTAGGCCATGGCTGCAGTGTCTCAATGCGCTTGCCTCGCAACCCCGGCTAAGAACTCGAACAGCTCGCTTATCGTCAGGCTTCCCATAAACTTTTACTCACACATTGAAACAATTTACCACACACACTTATCACGACAACAATAACAAACCTAGATTTTAACAATTTAGTTTTTCTTATAAGCGGAAGCCCTAGGTTTAGCCAGTCCTCGGTACTAATACAAAAGTTTGAAAAATAATGTTATTACGTGATTCAAGACAAGAGTGTCTGCCGACTTTTCTATTTACATAGTTTTTTATTCGTTTTTTTTTAGTTGAATGTTTTATTTTGGTGGGATTTAGAATATTTACGCAGTAAACGCTGTTTGGAAATTGTCTTCATAATTATGATTTTTTTATTGAAGGAAGAGAAGGCATTCAATGATTTTCCCAAAATCATTGAATGCCTTCTGTCGTCCTAAGTGGGGTAAAAGGGAGTGTGGGACTCTTATTGCTTAAACCCACTGCCTTCTCCTGGTCCACACCGAGGACATGGTACATTGCTCCCGTCATCTCGGCCGATCAGAGATCAGCTCTGTTGGGGCCCATCTGTGGTGGTATATTGGCTCTTAGAGGAGTGCGCGGAGCATTGCATAATCCGTGCGCTTGGTTCTGGTTTTGGTCGTGCGGCGTAGTCCTTAGACCCGCGCTTACGGTGGCCGGAGATCGTCCTTTTATCATTGTCTCGGCCGGAGTGTCTTTTACTGCGTCGGCTGGGGCGTGAGGAGAATAGTTACCTTATGCGCTCCACCGCCTTCATCACTTCACTGAGGCCGTGCTCAGCCCAAGCAGGATACACCGCACTGTATGCTCCGCTGCCGTGCCCTCCGGGTGGTTCTCGCAAGATACAAGAACGGGACTATTCCTTCATGTACCAGAAGTATGTCATTTGATTAGAATGCGGACATCGCGCATACGCACATACGCCTCGGCATCGACAAGACATCGAAAAATATTGATTTATTCATTAATTTCCTGACGAACTAATATTGGATTAATGAGATTGAGAT